TGAGTCCGATTCTGATAACAGAGTATCACTGTTTCTGAAGCTCATCTCTTTCTCATAAAAATGTCTTTATTGAGGTATGTAATGAAAGATTTTTTAAGTTAGCAACAATAAAATACTACTCATCTGAATATGATATATGTGGAGCACATTAGCAGTGACATGGACTTTTCATTATGTAAATAATGCAATATGTAGTAAATTTGTAAAATGTTACCGTAAGTTAGTATAAAAAGACATTACTTTTTTGTTAAAAAAGGGGCATTCTCCTTAAAGTATTTTTCAGAATAAAATCAAGTAATAATTAAAAAATAAAAAGAAGCTTTAAAAACAGGATTTGAGAACTTAAGTGCTAAAAATGTCTTTTAAATCATATGAATATAATGTTGAATTAACACCTTCTCAGTTTTCAGAGCTACGAGCTTTTCTAGTGAAATTAGTGAGACCAGTTATACTTCCCTTCCTTTTTAGCTCTGAATTGGCATAAAAATGTTAAATAAATGCTGTCATAATTTTTAGCAAATAAAGATAGCGGAACAGCTTCACCTTCAAAGTTTGCCGAATTTGTTTTGGCGCCAAAGCATATGAAATGCGTTGTTTTGAAAAATGGTTGCCATCCATATTTTCGACGAAACTGTGTTTAAAAAAAATGGCGACCATCTTGATTTCGCAGGAAGAACGTGGATAATAGAAATAAATTTATGACTATTATACACGATTTTAACAGAAGAATATTAAAAAATGATTAAGGTTATAAAAGGGTGTAATTTTAAAAACAATACCGGAAACCTTTAGCTATTTCACCTTTAATAATAAATAATCTGGTAAAAGCATAGAATAGGCTGTATCAACAAAGTTGAGAAGGCGGAGCTGTGTGACGTCCATTAATGGGCTGGAATAAGCTTGTGACATCACAATGTATTCTCCATGGTACGCCAGGGTTCGTAGCGGTCTTTACAAGTGCTTATAAGTCCTTATATTTGAAAATAAAATATAAAGGCCCTTATAGGTGCTTACTTTTTCTTTAAAGCCCTTATTTTTTTTAGTGCTTTTTTTAATGAACGCGCTATTTCCCCCCATACCAAAGCCAAAACTAAATAAACAACTTTTCTTCCTTACATGGAACGTCAGATGGTGAATCATACTCCCGGAAATAGCTTTTCCCCCTTTCTCCACATTAACGTAACCTATGGTACGCACGAGAGTACAGACAGGTGCACGTCGTTCTATTGGTCAAAGATGCGAAACCATAGAAATTCCGGTACATTTGTATTCTTTTCCTCCCACCCAAATTTACACATGTTTGAATTCTATCAAAGATTTTAATAATTTACATTCTCGTTCTGCGTGGTCAGTTCATATTCGTGTTTATTATGATCGTTATGCTTATATGTGAGCATATGTATGAATATTATAATATAGTTGCAGTAGCTACTGAAGTGTAGATAAACTTCCAAAAATGGGTTTATTTTTACACAGATTAGCTTTCTAATCTATAATAATAAAAGCAAGGTAAGTGTCTGTCTGTCTGTCTGACCGGCTCTCCAGCCAAATCTATCGCACAGGGACCTGGAATTTTTTATACGGAAGCACAAAAGGGGTGGCCACCAGACCTCGAAGCCCGATTTCGATTTTGAATTAGAAAAATTTTAAAAAAATTATTTATAATTAATTAATCACGGTTTTTTGACTCACTGATATTATTATTGTTTCAAATAACGTTCGATTGTAACAATGATTTCTTTATTCTAGCGTTAGTTTGCTGTTTTAACGATACATTAATCGATTAATTACAATTCATTGCTTTTTGTAGCTTGTGGGGGGGGAAGAGAGAGAGAGACAGTCTACATGTCCTACACTACTATTCCTGCATTTTCACACTTATCTGCATTTTCTAAATGCATGGGCAACGCCGGGCGGGTACAGCTAGTGAATAATATTCGGAATGGCTTAAATAAAACGAAAGTAATCGAATAGTCAGAAGATTTTTTTTCCCAATACATTGTAAAGTACGGAGGTTGGGAGGTTCTCCCCTTTCTCCGCAGAATCTCTAATATTGAAGCAGCGGACTTTTTTTTTTTTTTTGGTCACTGTCCAATCTGGATTGAATAGGACTAAAAGTTTTGCGGTCTACCCAACCCAAGCAAAGAATGATTCTATTCCGGAAATTTAACGCAGTCTGTTTGAAAATTAGAATGAAAAACACCCCAGATTAGGTAAGTCTCTTTCTTTCCTTATATTTAGTTCTTTATTGCCCAAATACCGGCAGCTGTTGATTCCGATTGCGTAATATCACGTATGGGAAGAATTACGCCGCACGTATTGCGCAATAACGTTTGCGGTATTTTGGCAGAGATAATTAATTTGATGTTCAGTCTCGAGATTTGTTTATGAACACTTTTAAAAGAGTTTTACTGTGCTTTCTAAAGCAGAATATTTCTCAGTTCCTGTTGGTCTATTTTTATATGATGCACATATCGAATGTCAAAATCATTTATTTAGCCGAGCAAATCTAAAAAACGGCTACAATCTCCCCCTCCTCCTCTTTTTCCAGTTACACTCGATCTATACGGAATATTTGGCAATTTCCGAGTATGCGGGTTAGTTAAGCTTTTACTGTTAAAGGATGACTGCATGAAGCAATTTCCCCTCTCCTGATTTCAGAAATGTTCCTCTTTTTTTACTTAAATTACTTTGCTTGGAATATATGTTAAGGGAAAACTGTTATGCAATGAAATTTAGAAAATGTTCAGAATTTTGATTTAAAGTTAAATTATTTTAAATGCAGTGGAAAAATAAGTTGTTTTATTATTAGGTGCCAAGCGAATACAATTAATATGGCTTATTATTATTTATTTCTATATTTTGAACTGAAATTTCATCATTAAATCTTGTAATATAGTTTAGTTCTGCATAGTGTTTTTTTTTTTTTTTTTTCATTGTAAACTAATTATGTAAATTGAAACTGTCATTTAAAATTAAAAAAAAAAAAAAAGTTAATTGTTTTCCATGGTTGAGGTAATGCTTATTCTTTAATAAATATTGCATTGCTCATATTTTGAAATTGCAAGTCTAATTTTCTTTTTAAGGTTATGCAGTTGTGTATAATGTAATTAGACAGGTGCTTTGCTTTTTTTTTTTTTTCTTAAAATGTGCTTGAAAAGTGCTTATATGTGCTTATTTTTTTTAACTAAAATGTGGCTATGAACCCTGTACGCGTAATTTCTATTTTCTCTTTAAAAAACAATAATGAATTGTTCATTATTGTAAATTAACATCAAATTCTTTACTTAAAATTTACATTTTTGACATTTAAGCTTAGGTGTAACTGAAAGTAAGTATAATAAATTGTTTATATTTAAAATTACTATGATACAGTAAGCGAATTCTACCAGTTATTAAAACGATAAAGAACGTTGCAGTCTCTCATACCTGTATTTCATACAGCTTCAGTATTTTCAAAGATTTTTGAGCTTCAGTATTTATACAAATAAAAAAAAAGATTTTTTTAAAATTTAAGTTAATACTCTGGAACATATTAATTTTATCATACTTACAAATTAACTTTTTTGCTACGTAACGACATAATCCCTTACATATACCAGTAACTAGACAATTTTCATTATTTTCTAAAAATTTTAAACTTCACATTAATGAAAAACGTGTTCTTAAATTCCTAAATCACACCATATTCTCTGTAGGCAGGCATATTAGAATTCTACACATTAATAAATAAAAAAAATCAAATTTCTCACAATGAAAGAAAATATAATATTAAAAATATAAGAAATAATATAAGAAAATAAATACGAATTTGGAACACTAAGCAATGCTTCACATACACACACACACATATTATCAAAGAACTCATATTATCAAGTGCAATTACGATAGCAAACACTACGTATTATAATAATGATGGTAAAAAGTTACTTTATAGGGTCCAAGTTTACAGTTTTGCTACTGTTAGTAGATCGTCGGGCTATCGATATATATCGTAAGTGGAAAGCATTATAAACATATCAAAACCAAAAAAAAATTAAAATACAATTTAATTTAAATGAAAAATGATGTCTTAAATATAATTCACAATTAAAACAACAATACAAATTTAAAATACACAAACGATATGTTAAAACATTGCATATAAAATACGTTACATTACAGCTCGTCATCACACATATCTCATTTTCCTTTACACACGATCCGATTCGCCCAAAAAAACATCAAAGCTCGGTCCATGTACACATCCATCTTTTTCACTTAAAATATCAGAGAATTGCACAACCTCGGCATTGCACACATCACTTTGCCCATGTACACATCGATCTATTTCACTTAAAAAAAATCCTAGAATTGCACAAACTAGGCACCGCGCACTACATTGGCTCTTGCCCATGTACACATCGATCTATTTTCACTTTAAAAAAATCCTAGGAATTGCACAAACTAGGCACGCGCGCACAACCTCGGCATTGCGTACTACATTGGCTCTGCCCATGTACACATCGATCTATTTTCACTTTAAAAAAATCCTGGCACAATTGCACACGCACATTGGCTCTTGCCCATGTACACATCGATCTATTTTCACTTAGAAAAACATCCTAGAATTGCACAACCTCGGCATTGCGCACTATATTGGCTCTGCCCATATACACATCGATCTATTTTCACTTTAAAAAAACCTAGAATTGCACGAACTAGGAACCGCGCACCGCGCACTACATTGGCTCGACCCATGTACACATCGATCTCTATTTTCACTTAAAAAATATTCGAGAATTGCACAAACTCGTCATTGCGCACTACATTGGCTCTGCTCATGTACACATCGATCTATTTTCACTTAAAAAAAAACATCAGAGGATTGCACAAACATGGCAACGTGCACTACATTGGCTTTGCCCAGTACATATCTTTAATAAAAAGAATTGTAAATCTTCAGTTAAATCAGAAGCTGCCGAAACCTAAATAAGAGTATAGCTAGTAAACTTGTTTTAAGAAAGGCGTAACAATATTACGTCATAAAAAGGTGTGTCCAAGCCTATGACAAGTAAACAACGTATCGACTGGATAGCCTATTCTAGGATTGAGCCGATAATTCTAACCATAAATAATAGGCTATAAAAAAAATAAAAACAGAAGTTTACGAGATCCTCCCCTGGAAAAACAAAAAAATTTAATTTGTGAAACCATTAGCCTGTGCAATCATATTTAATGCACAGTTTCCAGAGTGAGGGATGAGGACCCTGATTCAGGTGTCACTCCACTCTGTGCAATTTAAGTGTCTACATAAAAAACTATTATAATGGTTGATTATGTATACACTTATATTGCAATATTACAAATTTATGGACATTTTTTGCTGCATATTTTAAGAATATTTTTTTAACTTTTTTTTCCCTAATTTTAATGTTTTTCCATTCTTTTTTTATGCACTTGCCATTTTTCAACAAGTGTAATTTTGGTTTGATTTTAAGGTTTCTTTTTTTCTACCAAGCAATGAAAACACTCTAAAGGTTATAAGTAAAATTTTCCCAATCTACATCTAATAATCTCAAAAAATGCATTGCACAAATCAATTTTCTTTTCATAGTAACTTTTTTCGGAACATAAACATAGCCAAGTGGAAAGATGCATCATTTTGCATATTATATGTTGGGAAATGTGTTTTTACGTGTCTCCAAGTGCTTTCGATTGTATTGGTGTGAGCGCCCGTACTTCGATCAACAAAATTCAATGAATGGTTAACGGTTAAATGTTTAAATCCTTCTTTAGTCAACACATCGTGATTATAACCTTTTCAACAATCCAAAATAATAGTAGTGCCTGGCTCTATCCATTGTTTAATTAATGCAATTAAAGTTTCTTGACTCTGCTCATAAACAGTCACTAAAACCACCTTTCCCAATCACGCTCTACACCCCAAAAACCCACTGACCTTGGACATCATGCTCTTTGTTGTATTTCCTTTTACCAAATTTTGATTTGTCTACTTCCACAGCTTTGCCTACCCCACCAATTTTATTTGACATCAATTCAACATAATCCAATACTTGTTCATTAACGAATTGATGCCAGTCTGCTAAAGTCAAACAAGAAAAGCCAAAATTCTCTTCAATATTACAAGACGCTGTACCCTTAATTAATCCCCATGTTAAGAAAGAGATTTCCTGTAAATTGAGCTTACTACAGGCGAACCGAAATCCTCGCCTAATTGATTTCTCAGCCCTACACTTCTTGCATCTCAAAATACTACCATTCGATGACTTTCTCTGATTAACTAACCCGCATGGTATCTTACATTTTTCACAACAAACGTTATCCTTCAATAAACCACAATCCATCAAAAATCCTCTAAAAAGTCTAATTCTCTCTTGTTAATTACGTAATTCTCTCTTGTTAATTCATACATAAAATATCTGTTTGAAATGCCTGGTTTTCCCAAACTTTTATTCTTGTTTGAAAACTCCCACCTTAAATTTTTCCTTTAAAACCTCCTGATACTTAATTACAACATCAGTAACAGCAGGTTTAGAGCAAGCCATAACTAAATACAAAACTCTCACCTCCAAAGTAGCCAAAAAAATACATCCAAAATAGTACTCTTCCACGATAACTGAACGTGTTAAACAATCGCACAAACAGATCGTATTTTACTGTCTCGAGTGTCAAAATGTAGAACATCTTTTTAGCCCGATAACAGTGTTATGAATTGTGATGATGAAGATCGTTTTTTATTCTCAAGTGTATTTAAATATTAATTTTAGTAGAATTCTGATTAAAAATGTTGTATTTCCCCGTGCAATGCAGCGTGAGACAAATTTTAGGAGAAATCTATGCTGGAAAAGTAAGAATACATCGGCACGTGCATTTAATTTTGAGTAAATGGATATCTCAGTAATTTGTATTGAAATTGAATAAATGTAACTGACTACTATATTAGCTGTAACCATAATTTCATCCTCTTGTTTTCATTGCATTTGACAAATAGTATGGGTTACCACATCGTATCATTATCGCCGTTCTTGGCTATATTTTTTAAGTTAAAATTCTGGGTGGGCTATACTGAAGCTGTGCCAAGATAGCTGCATTTTTTCCCCCATCGTCAGAATAATTTATTGTATTGTTATTATTATTAGTAGTAGTAATAGTGTAGGTGAAGAATGTATATGATATAAATTTCTTATGTGTTTCACTTTATATGTGTCAATATTATACTATAAGTAAAGTAGTTTAGTTTTTTCATCTCTTTGAATAATCATGATGCACTAACAGTCTACTTTCTAAATCTTTTTTTGTCTTAAATAAAAATTAATGTAAAGTGTAATTTAGCCCCTTTTTATGCCAGTAGCATTGTTATCAGGTTGAAATAGCCAAAAACTTGTAATATTTTTTTTTAATACATTTTCTCTTGCTTTGCATTTTTTTATTTTGACAGCAGAGCAGCTATGACCATATGGAGTAAAAGTTATTTCTAAAATTCAAAGAAAGTGCTGTGACTTATTCTGTAATTTTTTATTAATTTATGTTATAGTATAATCTGTATGAAGTACCAAGATTTTGCAGATAAGTTTGCTCTTTAGATATAAATGTAAATAGTCATTTGTTATGCATAAACCTAAAATAATTAAGATGAATGTAATATCTGATATGTAATAAAATTAATGAAAATGCTTCATTTTATGTAGATAAGTATTTTTGGCATCAATCGCATTTGTATTAGTATATATATATATATCCCTAAGTTATGTACATAAAATTTTTCTTATGTGTAGTAGAGCAAATGAAAATGCTGATGAAGTTGAATCTGAAAGCCAAAGGTTAGTGTACATTGAATTGTTACACTTTTCAAGGCCATGTTTACATGTAACCTCATAAAAGAATGTGTCTGAAAAATTTGTCATTTACCATTAATTTGGCTGAAAGCTGTTTGAAAAATAAAAAAAATTCTCTGCTGTTTTTTTGCTGTACTCTAGGCAGGAACCTTAATATTACAATATTATATATATATATATATATATAGATAACCCATTTTATTTAGTTTACAATTTGGTACATATTTTGACTCTTCATGCAGAGAGATTTTGTACTATTGGACTAATAAGTGTCATCATATGTAAATAATTATTAATTTTGGAGTTGATAATTTTTATGTATTTCTGGCAGAATAATGTAAACTGAGAAGTTTTAAATGCAATATTTGCTATTAAAATTTATATACAGTATAACCTTGAGCAGACATTTGTTCCATCTTCTAATTGAAATAGCCTTATAACAGTGTGGGTACATAAAAGTATTCTTCTTTCTTATTTTGCATGTATATTGGTATGTCTTGAGCATAAGATTATTAATGGAAGATTGAGGACATGGTTTCACAAGATTTGTGACAGTGTTTTATGTATCTGCATGCATGTGGCATTTAGTTTTTGAAAGATTTTAATTGTAGCTGTTAAAATAATTTTTTTAAATTTAAAGCATGTAATATTTTAATAAAGAACAATTACTTGTTTAACATGTAGAGAAAAATTAATTGAAAGATTATTATTGCTTGTGAATTAAATGTTGCAGTTGTATCATGTTTCCTTTAAATTTCACTGTCGGGAATTTTTTTTAAAATATATATTAGGAGCCACTCAAGGGGTCATAGGTATCGACATTACAGCAGATCAAGATCCCGCAGTCCCCGACATCGGCGATAGTAAGTGATATTTTAACTTGTACTATTCTGTATGCTTGTGTTTTTTTCCCCCTTATTTTATCTTGATAGTACACTGAAGTGGATAATATAAACGCAAAATTTAAGACACTAAGCTAAGTATGATTACAAATCGGTCTCGGAAAGTGCAGTACATATTTTTGCGTAATGTTGTTCCTATACCTAGTCTAGCCAAAGTTTAGAAAAATTACAAAATGCATGATTATGATATATCTAAAATGGTAAATGTATATTATGTTTTCTGAACCACTAAGTATTCTACAGAGATGATGGTTCTTATTTGAAAGAGCCTGTGGCTATAATATTTCCTTTTTTTACTAATAGTAGAACATTGGCAATAATATTACTGCCAAAGAAAAGTTGGAACTACTGCAATTGACACTATTATTTTATTTGGGTACAATATTGTAATATTAGAGCCTCATTTTTGAAGAAGATATATTGTTTCATAAATCGAATGAAATAAAACTTTCACTCCTCTTCATCACTAAATGACTGCTTGGATTATGGCTTCAGCCAGTTATTCAATATTTCATGATTACAAAACAATTTTTTAAAAACAAAATGTAAACATGCCTAATATTTGCGTGCATGAAGCTGCTGAAAAATTATCAGTAAAGACAAAGTAATAAATTTAGAATTAATGTACTACTGTAACAATTTCATAGTTTCGATTGAGATCTGATGAAAGTGCTTAAAATTTTTAATTGCTTCTTGTGAGTATTAATTAAGTCTCTTCACTAAAGTTTTATATTTTCACTTATGTTTTAAATTCTTTGGATTATATGCTATTTGTTTAAAGGTAAAATTTTGATGATTTGAATTTTTCATTGAAGTATTTTTTCACTTAAGTTTTCATTCTTTTACTAGGATTTTCTTTATTTAAGGTACAAAAGTCTAATCAGAATGTACTTAGTTTTTTTACTTGCTTCGGGGAGGGGCCAGAATTTTCGAAATACCCTCATATGTGGTCAGGTCATAAATTTAGAACCCCTTTTTTCACAGGGGGCCTGAAAAGTAGGGGAAAATCTTGCTAGTGAGTGGTCTTGAGAAAATGTGGGTGTCGTTTTAACATCTAACTTCTCTACATTCAGTTTTACAAAGAGGAAAATACAAATTGAATTCTTCGAATGAATGCAATTTTGTACAATGAAAATGTATTACTTAAGGATAAACTGTAAGATAAATAACATCTTTTTTTAAAGCCATGGGTGTAGAAAGACAGATATTTGTTACACGAATGAACTTGTAGTAAATATTGAGTTTTTCATTTCGAATGCTATGTTCCATGTATGCGAAGTAGCTGAGTATGTGAGATAATAGTCATAACCGAATGGCTTTCAACATTTTCACGGCTAAGGACTGTTTCTCAATTACATTGTGGTCGCTGCTTTTTGCTTAATTTTCTAATGACGTATAAACAGCAGTTGTTTTTATTTCAGACTTATGAATAAAATAACGCAAACTAGACTACAGAAAATCCTTAAGAATTAAGTTAAATAATACTAAAAGATACATTATGGATGCACTTTTGTGTTTTATATGTAGTAGTATTATTAACTACTACTATAATCCTTAAATTATATATATCTATGCATAGGTATATATAAATGGAACCACTATAGAACAAGGTATAAAATATCTTTATTATACAATGTTCATTACCATACATATATTTACGTAATATCAATATAAATAGTTAGTTAGGTTTCGTACATATATAATTTATTTTTATATTTTGTATTTTTTGTATTAGATTCAGTATTGTATACGTATCTGAAGTTTAATTTTTCTCTTTTTGGGTTACGACTTTAAGTGAGAAAGAATTGTTAGGGCCTTCATAGGGATTACATTAAATACAATCAGTTAGGATCCGACTTTTCCTTTCTTTTAATCATTATATATATTGAAATACTACTTGATAAGTATACATAAAATATAGCAGTTTTTTAAGCTACTTATTTATATATCTATTGTTTGGTCTTATTTGTTTGATTATATCAAAGCATTCGACGGTTATTTGCCTAAGGGTAAGGGTAAGGGTGCCTCGTGGACAACTTTCGAAGCAAAACTGACTCTTATGCACGTTACACGTGGGGAAAACCTCGAAAACGCCAATACAGCCATCCCCGTCGATCCGGATTCGAACCCCGGATCGACCTGCCAGAGTTCAACGATTTTACAGCTCAGCCGCTAGTGAGCCACACACACACATCCACACATATACATTAAATAGTATTTTACATGTCGTTATAAAGTATAATTGAGTGCAATTTAATCATAAAGAGAAAATATTCTACGGAATTACTTCACTCGTAGACTTTTTGCTAAGCTTCACATATTTCTTAAAGAGAATCGCAATGCTGATTCCATTTCCTAGCCCTTTATGTATCTTATTTTTTTCTACACTGAATTATATTTAGAAAATTATTTCACTTGGTTATAGCTCAAAATGCAGGTTTTTTATTGAAGAATTTAAGGGTAAGAAGAGAATTATGCCTTTGTCTAATTAATTATTCTTGAAGCATTTAAATTTTTTTAAAAAAAGCACACATTAATACGAATCACTGAACTAAAGTGGTCGATACAGGACAGATTAATTAGCTACTAAATTTTGATTTTCTTTGAGTAAAAAGGAATTCATCTGCATTCTTTAAGAAAGCAGATATTCAAAAAATGTTTTTTTCCTATTCTCGCAGTCATAATATTTTTCTTAAATATTCAGCTAATTCATATTCAAATATTCCAATCCATTACAATAAGTAATAAATCGATACAGTAAATAATTAAAATAAATGGAATTTTAATTGATTTTAATTGCCATTTTCCCTCTGATAAACCCCTCTTTAGAGTTCAATAGCAGTCCATCAGCTTTTTGTTGGGGGTTCATTTTTCTTTATGGTATGCTTACGTTATATATGTATGTATTATGCATTGGTCGTACTCGTCAATTGCAGCTTTTAATATTTTTTGAAAAATATATATATGAGAATCCAGAAAATGATTCTTAGCGACGCTAAAATATTATTACTAGCACTCTCATGCCATAATGTTTAAAAAAAAAAATCCCATTGTTTAAAGGTAGATTCTATGCTCATATTTTAGTCTAAAATTAAAAGTTGTGAGTCAAAATTAAGGGGGTTGCTCTTAGAAAGCCTCAATTAGAAGTAGTTATAGGAAATGTTAATCAATACTTATAATCTTACGGATTAAACACTTATTCCCTATTTGATCACGTGTATGGCAAACAGATATTCGTCATTCATAAAGAAAAGAAAGGTGAATCAAAATCACATCTTAAGATACAATCAGATTTAATCTTTAAATTATTCCAGTAATAATCAGAACAATGGGGGCCATTATTCTTAACTATAATTTACTAATGCAAATCCTATTTTGGTTTCAAGTGACTTTCATTAATTACGTTAATGATATACTGATACTGAATGAGACCTAAAAACACTTTTTTAAAAAAATATAGCTCCCATTATGATCCCTGACACAGCCGTTTACTTTCCCCTTTCGTAATTAATGTCAGTCTCTTGCTCTTGACCGCATTTGCCAAGCCACCGAACTTTCGAGTGAACTAATAATTAAAATACTTTGAAATGGTTTCTAGGCTAATTCTGGATACAGAAAAGCAAGGATTTTTATTTCAATGTCCCTCCTCCTGACGAAGTGTCATTGAAGTTGATTGAATTCCCCTTCTATTATGTTTGTTTTTCTCTAAATTTTGGTTTTAACATTTTTTAAATTCTTTATTGCATTTATAGGATTATTTGAAATTTATTAATCGTGAATTTTAGTTTTTGGTCTTTGTGAAAAATTAGTTCTATATTTCTTACTTCATGTCTTAATTCATTTATTGTGATTTTATGGAATTAAATAAAATCTTTAACCAGTTAAACTTCCATTCACAATGTAAAAAAAAAAAATCTCTAAAGCAACCTAGTAACAAAATGTTGATGATTAAACAGATTAAAATCCATAATAATAGCTTTTAATATTTAGTTATTTGTGAAATTTTATCGCACAGCATTTTATGCTGTATTGTACCTTGTTCAACCAGTCAGAAGTTGAATTCTATCTCACATGACTCTCAAGATCTACCTGGTCTTTTGCTAGTATGAATGAGAATGGAGGAATTTTTCTTATATAGCTAAATTACTGTCTTTAATGATAAAATGTCTTAATGTTAATAATAAAAAAATGATAATTTAGAGAAATTTCTGGAATTATTGAAATTTACACTTGCATTATGTAGATTTATTAAGCTCTGTCTACTGAGGGTTTTATGTAATCATTTGGTTATATAATATTGCTGTTGTGTTTCTAAATTGCCTTCTTCTTACGATTCATTGTATAACTTTCTTATTTATAATGTTGTAGTTTTTAAAATGTGAATAAGTTTGTTGCTTGACCAATTTATAACTGCATGTGTTTATTTTCAGTTCCAGAAGCCGAAGCAGGAGGTAGGTTTAAATTTATGTATAATTTTATTGCATGCATATTTTTTATATAATTTTTTTTATGATTGATATTGTAAAGTGTAAATTTTTTTATACGTTCCAGTAATTTTAATTGTGTTTAGTAGAAGTAACCATGTTCTTCCTTTTTGCTTAATATTTGAATGCTTATCCTATAGCCGTTCCTATTCTCCAAGGCGTTCATATTCTCCTCAATATAGCCCACGCCATTCATACTATGATGATCGTTACTATAGGTATGGGGGTAAAAGTCGATATTCTTCCAGGTACAACCGTTCTCCAATGTCCAGCCGAAGACGGCATATTGGAAACAGGGTATGTCTAAATCTTAAATTTTGTGTTTCATTGTCCCAAGTTTTGATGTTGGAAAGATCTGTAGTAGAATTCTTCAGTAGAAATATTATGCTAGTCATTTAACATTTTAAAATTAATCATTGTTCATAACTTCCAGCCTTCCAATAAAATCAGGAGACGCCCAATTTTTCATGACATCTGCTAAATCACCCGATTTTATTTAGGTCATACCTATGAAATGTAAATCTAGAAAAAATGCTACTGAGTGTCAAAGAAAAAGGAACTTTTGATGAAAAAACATTAGGCAATAATGAACAACAATTTTGTCATCTTTTAATAAAATTTACATTGCCCAAAATTCATTTAAGTCATTTTCTAATTTTTATTGATTGTTTTTAATATATTAAGAAATTTGTAGTGTTTTATGAAGGGTTAGTTATGCTTTTAAGTTCATAAGTTATATGTTATTAAAGTTGTCTGCTTGATTATATGCACATTAATTATTGAATTTTCATTGGGTTAAAAGCATTTAGTCCCCTTCCAGTTTGGTTTTTATCAGTATGAAATTATTAAAAATCACAACTTTAAATAAAATCAGCGAAAAATCATTATTCTAAATTTTAATTTTATTTTACAGAAAAACCATCTGTTGAATAAATTAATAACCTGACTTATGAACTTAGCTTAAATTAATTTTTATGATCTTTTGAAGTTGCATCTCTGTGCAATAAAAAAAAACCTCCAGCGTTTTCCTGTTGCAGAGTTTGCAACTGTGCATATTGGTTTCCTTTGATTTGTTGGCTAATGTATTACCATTAATAAGTAAATGATAGCAGTTACTGCTGACAAACAGTAAGTGTGAAGAGTAACAGCATTGTTAAAAGGGCCATAAAAATTTTATATTCAGCTAAAATAAAGGCCACTGATGACTGATTAATTTGTTCATGTATGTGTGAATAATTCATGCATATGTTGCATAGAAAGAAAGTACTTGTGTAGTATATTTGGTCAAAATTTTGATTATGAGAGAAGAGCCATTTGAACCCAAGAATGGGCAGAATAATTAATGGTGGTTGCATTTTCCATTTAAAAGACAGATGCACCGACTGTCTTTATCCTTTTTATAATAGATAACTCATTGTTATCAGTTGGCAAATGCTGTCCTTTAGAAATAGGTCTGTTTGCAAATAGAAGGCTGTCTAGCTAAACATAAATATATTAAAGGCCATCTTCTTAAGTACATTTAAAGCTGTCAGAGATTTAGGCCATAAGAATAAAAGTTTATTCAAAAGGGATACTTGTATTCAGTGCAAAGGAAATGTAATTTTAAAGTGTTCGGATTTCATGCATTTTTGTACTGAAAAGCATTTATCATTTTTATAGTTTTAATTTAAATTTCAAATACCCTCAGTCAGACTAACCATTCTTCAAAATTCTTTGTAATGGCAACTTTAATGGACAAAAGACAATTGTGTGTTGTTTTGGGCTTTCAATTTGTTGTTACCTTTGCATTGCTTGAATACATGAAAAGTATTGCTTGCAGAGCATATGCTATTTATGTAGTTTGACAGATTTCTAGTTTTATGAGGTGTTGCTGTTTAATGTGCCTATTAAATTTTTATATATGTAATCAAAAAAATACATTGCTTAATTAAAGAAAAGATTTAAAAGTAATGTATGCGCTTGATAAGCTTCCTTGTTATTGATTTATTTCTTAATAACACTTGATTACTGTAATTTTATTCTATATCTAAATGATAATTTTTATAAATAAAACAATATTTGTTATATGCCTTGATACAAAATATTTTTTTATTATATTACAAAAACATTTTATTTCTTTTATCTTTGATTCAGATATTTAGATATTTAAATTATTATTCTCATTATTCTTAGTATTTAGTAGATATATCAGCTAGTGAAATGCTGTAAATATTTTGCATTTCACCTGTTTTGAAAATAATTGAGGTATTTCTGAATTTTTTTTTTAAATTATTTTCTTTTTAGGACAATCCTGAACCTAGCAGATGTTTGGGTGTTTTTGGTTTAAGTCTGTACACACAGGAACGAGAGTTAAGAGATGTATTTGGAAAATATGGTCCTATTGAAGACGTTCAAGTAGTATACGACGCTCAGGTAAATAAAATGCACAAGTTGTGAAACTTGAGAAATACACAGACTCCACATACTATGCATTCTCTGTAGTTTCTGTGGAAACTTAAAAACTACGAGCTGCAGAAAATACAAAATATAATACTGATTTTATTGAAGGGGGACACAAGAGAAATGTTATGTTAACACGCATGTGCCATTCAGACTGAATTATTCTCAAAATAGGGTGGGAGGATGGATATTTTATTTCCCTCCAGCATACCTCTTTCCGGGGAAGAGAAGACCTTTCACGTTGCAGCAATTAATGCTGTCCCTTTTAGATGAGTCTATGTGTTTTGGCAGAATGCCAGCCAGGTTTGCACTTGAGACGGTCGAACTATGCCATACCTATTACAGGGTTCGTAACGGTCCTTATATTTGAAAATAAAATATAAAGGCCCTTATAGGAGCTTACTTTTTCTTTAAAGCCCTTTTTTTTTTTTTTTTTTTTTTTTTTTTTTTTTTGTTTTTTTTTAACGTGCTTATTTTTTGCTTTTAGTGCTTTTTTTTTTTAATGAACACTCAATTTTTCCCCGTACCAAAGCCGAAACTAAATAAACAACTTTTCTTCCTAATATGGAATGTCAGATGGTGAATCATACTCCTGGAAATAGCTTTTCCCCCTTTCCTCTGCATTAACATAACCTTTGGTGTGTGCGGAGAGTACAAACAGGTGCCCGTCATTCTGTTGGTCAAAGAATTGCGAAAGCAGTAGAAATTTCCGGTACATTCAGCATTCTTTTCCTCCCACCCAAATACTACACACGTTTGAATTTCTGTCAAGATCTTAATAATTTGCATTATCGTTCTGCTTGGTCAGTTCATATTCATGTTTATTATGATCGTTATCCTTATATTATATGTATGAATGTTTTATAATAACATAGTTGCAGTAACTGCTGAAGTATAAGTAAACTTCCATGTGTTTTAACACAGATTAGCTTTCTAAGGAATAATATTCGGAATGGCTTAAATAAAGGGAAAGTAATCAAATAGTCAAAATAATTTCATTTTTTTGGCCAATACATTATACAGTACGAAGGTTGGGAGGTTCTCCCCTTTCTCCGCAAAATCTCAAACATTGAAACTGTTACAGTTTGCTGCAAAGCAAGCAACGGACCCTTTCTCTCTCTCTCTCTCTCTCTTTTTTTTTTTTTTTTTTTTTCCAATCTGGATTGAATAGGACTAAAAGTTCTGCGATCTACCAACCCAAGCAAAAAATGATTCTATTCCGCAATTTTAACGCAGTCTGTTGAAAATTAAAATGAAAAACTCCTCAGATTAGTAAGTCTCTTTCTTTTTCTTTATTTAGTTCTTTATTCTCTCAATACCGGCAGCTGTTGATTCCAATTGCGTAATATCAGGTAGGGAAAAATTACGGTGCACGTATTGCACAATAACATTTGCGATATTTTGTAGAGATAATTAATTTTGATGTTCGGCCTGTTATTTAAAATTTAAAAAAAAAGTACGTAATTGTTTTCCATGGCTGAGTAATGATAGTCATTCTCTCTTAATAAATACTGAATTTCTCATATTTTAAATTAAGGGTCTTATTTTTCTTTTAAGGTTATGCAGTTGTGTATAATGTAATTAGATAGGTGCTTATTTTTTTAACTAAAATGTGGCTATGAACCCTGTATTATTAGCATGTTTCCATTGCACATATTTTCTGACCCATTTGGTCGTTTGTGATAGGATGATCGTAGTACATGTGTTTTTATATATCTTTGCTGAACTGGTTTGCTATGTGGTATAGTAATGCCACACCATATTTTCCTTTTGTTGCTTATTTTTGTGAGCTGCCGTGTATATAAATGAATTATAAATACTTTTATTGATGATTATATGCATATTTCAGTGCTTTCATACTGTCACAACCATCTTGGCTGAATTAGGCCTTTTTTTTTTTTTTTTTTTTTTTTTTTTAACGGATGAAAATGTCAGTTACTTAGCATGTGCAAGTTGGGGGTTTTCGCACCTTCTTTTTTAGAAAGATTCCCAAACTATTGATATTTATAGTAAGTTTGGTAAACAATATCAACATAGGAAAAGAAAACATACTTTAGTAATTAAAATACAAATTCTTTTACCAAAGTACACAGCGATCTGTTTTCACTTAAAAAAATCATAGATTTGTTGAGACTCAGCTTCGTTTAATCTTTGGGAACAGTGGCTCTCTGGAAAATGCATTTCCTCATTGTTCCCTTTAGAAAATTTTCAGCAAAATTCTATATTACTGTCAAAATTAAACCACAGTTTTTTCCATTGCTGGTTAGGCCCACCAGCGGCCGAGCGGTAAAGTCGCTGAACACTGGTAGTTTGGTCCGAGGTTCGAATCCCGCGAACGGGCTGATTGCATGGGCGTTTTTGTGGTTTTCCTCATGTGTAATGTGTATACGAGCCAGTTTCCCTTACAAAGTCCTCCACGAAGGCATCCCTCCTTTTAGGCAGATAACCCTAGTGTGCTTTGCCGTAATCTTAATAAACCGAAACCAAGACCATTGCTGGTGAATTCCACAAGCTTCTATTTTAATACTAAGTTTAAGGCTAAAAGTATCATTTGTGGTAAAAAAACCCTTGAACTTGGAATGCAACAAATTAGAATGTATACGAAAATGGTGGTATTGCTTGACTGAAACGATTGTTATGAGCATGGTTGCAGGAAGAATGGTAATGCACATGGTTGCCAGAGTTTGGCAATTTCTAAAAATTTGTCTAGTTCTACTAAGATGGTTGTGATAGTAGTACCTATATTTCTTGTCTTTATCTAGCATTTAAATTTTAAAAAAATATTTTATTTCCCTGTAGAAATTAGGGATCCTAAATCATCAAAGCTATATACTTTATGCATTCTGATTTCTATGATTATTTGTGATTTAAAATATTTGCTTCAATAATATGCTGGAAGATTTAAAGATATTTCTGCTTTAGTAATAAAATGAAAGTATGTAATTAAATACACATAATGTACAAAAAGTATTTTTACTTATTCAGGTTTTCATATTTATGGATTTAAATTATATAATATGCATAATAAATTTTTATTTAACAGTTAATTTTTAAAAAATTGGCCCTAATGAGCACATTTCCAATTCAAAGTTGTAAAAATGAAATTCGTCCATTGTCTACTGCTGCATTTTGCTGTATGTTAGAGTCTATGGAAAATATTGGTGTCTTAAAGATTGTGATGGTAATTTATTATATAATTTGCTGTTCATTTTCAGAGTGGAAGATCTAGGGGATTTGCTTTTGTGTATTTTGAAGATACCGAAGATGCTAAAATGGTACATGTTTTATTTGTTCTTTTCTACCTTACTGTGTAAAATATTCTATCATTAGTATGTGTTGTTCTTTTTCTTGTGATAAGTAGCTGTATGAATATAAAAAATTATATCATTGTGTAATTTTTATCCAGTTTAATGAAGGGATGTATTCATTTTCTAATATTGCCTTTCATGATGTTCTTATTAATAGTGAAGATTCTGTTTGAAGGATTTAAAACTAAAATATCCATTTTGCTGCAGATATGCCATAATAGTTCAGGTAAACATTGGCATTCTCTAGAACTCATTTAAAGTGGTATTAATCTCAATAAGCTTTTTCTGCACAAGTGGCTAAGTAATTAAGACTGGAATGCTGGCAGTTTGACCTGGAATCGAAATCAAGCAGACAAGCTAACTGCATGTTTGGTTTTTGTAGTTTTCCCATTTGTAATGTAAGACAGTTTCTAGTAGAAGAGCATCCTTTCCCTAAGGCCATTGATTCTCAACCAGTGTTGCTTCGTGCACCCCTTTCACTATTGCTAGATTATTCCCTCCTTTCTCAAACTTGAAAAATACATATACATTTATTTCAATTTTTAACATATTTTTATAAATTATGCAACAAAAAGTTTCGAAAATGTTGTTAAATATGAAAATAAATGTAGCTTTTTTATATGTAAGTAGTTGAAATTAAAAAATGTGAAGCATCTTTGAGCCTTTGTGAACATCTGTAATTCTGTGTTCTTACTAGATACATCTGGTTATCACTATGGAGGTTGGGAAGACACTTATTAAAATTTTAATTTCTCTGTTTACTGCAACTTTCAGTTAAAATCCTTTCTTTCTTTACATACAACATTAACTACTTAACATGACTTGCTCAATGAATGATGTATATGTGTTGATTGGTTACTTCTTAAAATTAAATTTTTATTGACTGTGTATAAAGAAAAGTTTACTAATGGGACTCATAACCTTAAAACCCTTAAGATATTCAAATATGTGACTGCTGCAAGAATTGAGATATTTTATTTATTTTAAAATCAATTACTTCCAATGTTTTACAGCTGACTATATAATATAGCTGCTTTGAGAACTAGTTACCAGAAAGTTTATGTTGCCACAGATGTTTTAATAATTTAATCTGCTTTGTGACAAAATATTTTATGCATTCAGGCTATGTTTCTACCTTGTGCGCAGTTTAAAAACATTATGTTGCATAATTTAATTTCGTATTTAATATATAGCTTTTAAAGCATTTGTAAACTACTGTGAACCAAAAATCCTAAGAATTTCATGTTAAATTTTTATTTTATTTGGAGTTTATGAAATTATTTTATTTTAAAAAAACCTGTAGTGTTTTCGTATATAAAATTTTTTAATATTAAAATATTCATTGCATTTTTGGTTCAATTAAAAGACAGTGCCCGTATCAAGAATTCCATCAAATTTCAAGGATTCATTAGGCATTTTTTAAATATGCATATGGGTAAAACCTATTTCTGTGACATAGCATTAACTATCAACACAACCTCATATGACTAGTAGGGAAAGTATTAAATACACACAAATACCCAGTTTACCAATCTTTTGCATACTGAGGTTAGTTGGCTGAGCAAAAGAGACATGCTTTCAATTTGTCACCACAAGTAAAAGAGTTTTTAAAACATCCCAAGGAAAAAACTGTGAACAGCTGTGAGACAAAAACTGGTTAACAAATTTGGCTCTTCTGACCAATAATAAATCTCTAAAGAAAATCATTAATGCTTTCCCCCACTACCAATAAATGGCAGAAAGTCTAAAAGAGCATAATTAATACAGACTCATATCTTCAAAATTCTATCTGCATTGCAAACTTAAGTTTGATTCTAGATTTGTTGACTTTTCAAATTTAGAGCCTATTTTAAAATTCTTTATAGATCCTTTTATTATTGCTAATGTAGAAACAAGGTTATAGGTTATTTTAACTATGGAAAACGTAGTAAGCATGCAAAAGAATATTATTTTTAAATCTTAATGAAACTAAGATATTTAGGAGCTTGGTAAACAGAAATCAATGTCCTGTTTTAAAGTCACGTGTGGTAAAGATTCATTCTTATTGCTCAAATATCTATAATTGTGAGACATTTTTTAATATGATTTATTTATAAGTATCCTTCAAAACTACTGATTTGCACTTAGATAATTGTTTAAGAGCATGTTACTCAAATTACAGGGGTTGGACAAAAATATGGAAACACCTTTAAAAAAACATGTTTCTTTGCTTAATATGGTGTAGGAAACCCGTTGGCATCCAAAACAGATTGCAGTCTTCTCGGAATGGATAAATAGAGTTCCTGTATGTTTGCCAAAGAAATATTATACCATTCTTCCTGCAAAACGGTGGCAAGTTCAGATAACTATGTTGGCGGTGGATAACGAGAACGCACTTTCTGTTCCAATGCAGACCACAAAGGTTCGATAATATTCAGGTATGGCCAGGACTGTGGTGGCCAGGGGAGATGGGACAACTCATCCTCGTGCTCAGAAAACCAGTCCTGGACAATGTGAGCTGTGTGAACAGGGGCTTTGTCGTCTTGGAAGACACCATCACCATCGGGCAACAAAGTTTGTACCATGGGATGAACTTGATCGGCCAAAATGTTCACATAAGTCTTGGCAGTCATGTGCCCTGACACAGTTATCATGGGGCTAGCAGAGAACCACGATATGGCTGCCCAAACCATAACAGAACCCCCGCTATGTTTCACTCTTGGCTACAAGCAGTCTGTATTATAGGCTTGAGATGGCGTTCTCCAGGCGTAAACTCGGCCAAAAGTGGGAAACAATGTGAAAGAAGACTTGTCAGACCATATTACTCGCTTCCACTGCTCTATAGTCCAGGCTTTATGACTTAAACTCCACTTTTTCCTGTTACGGGCATTAGCATCACTGATGAGTGGCTTCTCAATTGCAGCACGGCCAGCAATTCCCTGTTTATGAAGCTCCCTTCTAATTGTTTTGGTACTCACAGGGTTCGGTAACACAACATTCATTTCAGCAGTAACTTTTGCAGCTGTGGTCTTCTTATTTTTCGTCACAATTGCCCTTAATGATCGTCTGTCACGATCACTCAGGACACACTTTCGTCCGCGCTGTGATTTAGCAGATGATGTTTTCCGCTTTTCAAATATGGCGGAATAAATCTTTGATACAGTACCTCTTGAAACACTAAACACCTCAGCTACCTTGCTTATGGAAGCACCTACCATACGTGCTCCAACAATTTGCCCACGTTCGAAGTCTGTTAACTCTGACATAATGCAATGACAACCTCACATAACAGTACTCCGACAACAACTGAACTGTTTAGCACATTTACGAAGTTGTATAGGTGGCGTCAGTAGTCAAAAACGCCAGCACCACCTACATATTTCATTAAAATCAATCTTTCTTTTCAAACATGCATTTCACAAGGTGTTTCCATATTTTTGTCCATCTATTATAAATAGTTAGCGTACAAATTTCACAACAAAACAAATTTGAAGTGTGATGTTTGATTATGTGAAACCTGAATGGGAGGTGCTCGCTAAGAATTTAAAATTTTATTTCGTGCCCTAGATGATGAAAAGGTTGCTGACTCCTGCATGGTTCATAGTGGTCCTTATAATTCCTTATATTTGAAAATAAAATATAAAAGCCCTTGTAGGTGCTTACTTTTCTCTAAAGCATTTATTTATTTATTTGTTAAACTAAATAACTTTTCTTCTTTGTATGGAACATCATATGGTGAATCATACTCCCAGAAATAGCTTTTCGCCGCTTTCTCTGCATTAACATAACCTTTGGTGCGTGCAAGTACAGACAGGTGCATGTCTTTCTATTGGTCAAAAAATTGCGAACGTGGTAGAAAATTCCGTATTCTTCTTTTGCTCCCACCCAATACTACACATGTTCAAATTTTTATCAAGATTTTAATAATTAACATTCTTGTTCCGCGTGTTCATATTCTCATTTATTATGATCGGTATTCTTATATGAGCATATGTATGAATATTCATAATAATATATTTGCAGTAACTGCTAAAGTATAGATAAACATAAAAATGGGGAACTGTGTTTTAACACAGTTTTCTAAGGAATAGTATTCGGAATGGTATAACTAAAGTGAAAGTTATCGAATAGTCGAAATAATTTCAATGCATTATACAGTATGAAAGTTGGGGAGGGTTCTCCCCTTTCTCTGCAAAATCCCGAATATTGAAACCGTTACAGTTTGCAGCAAAGCAAGCAACGGACGTTTTTTGGAAGGGGTCACTTTCCAACCTGGACTGAATAGAACTAAAAGTTCTGCAGTCTACCAACCCAAGCAAAGAATGATTCTATTCCAGAAATTTAACGGAGTCTGTTCAAAATTAGAATGAAAAAGACCCCAGATTGCGCGTGATGCATCCTGCTTAATGATAAATATGCCACATGGCCGCATGACGGATAAAACTGGACAAAGCAAAGGGGTGTTTTCCTTTATTTAGTTATTTTTTCTCCGAATACCGGCAGCTGTTGATTCCGATTACGTAATGTTGCGTGCAGAAGAATTAAGGAGCACTTTTTGTGCAATAGCATTTGCGATATTTCGCAGAGATAAAAAGAGTTTTGCTGTGCTTGCTAAGCAGATTATTTTTCAGTTCCATTGGGTTATTTTTTATGTGATGCACATATCAAAATGTCAAATTTATTTAGCTGAAAAATCTAAAGAACGGCTACAATCTACACCCCCTTCATCTTTTACCAGTTACGCTCGACTATACGGAATTTTCAGATATTCGACAATTTCCAAGTATGCCAGTTAGTTTAGCTTTTACTATTATAGGAATTCCCGGTCCAGGGCCTGTGTGTCGTGCAATTGTGAAAGGAGGATCAGCACGTTTCTCTGTGCGTCTCCAGATACGTCTTCGATGATCGTCACGACACTGTTGGAAGCGGGATTTGTCGGTAAAGACTATACGTCCTCAGTAAGCATCATTCCAACTTGATCGAGCCAAGAACAGCTGTAATCTAACTCGACAGTGTGCAGGCGGGAGTGGCTGGTGGCGTAACAGTCGGTATGAGCGTAGATTTCGCTTTATCAGCCGTCTGTGAACGGATATGATGGACACTCGTGTGTGGGTCGCACGTCTGATGGTTGATTACGATGAACCAGGCGATGTGACAGCTGATCCGACATTCATTTTATCCTCCAGATCTAATGTGGCCCTAGGTTGACCGCTACCATCATGACGCTCAAATCTGCCATTGTCCACACATTCTTGCCAGCATTTTCTAATCGCTGCATCGATTCGACTCATATGACGAGCGATTCTCAGATTTGATCAACCTGCTTCTTCCAATCCAATGATGCGACCTATTTCAGACTCTGATAGTTGCTCGTAATAAGCTCGAAATCTGCAGTGAGGCATTTTTTTCAGTCTGTGAAAGGTATCCAAATTGCAATTAAACAAAAAATTTTAACAACAGTTCAAGAAAAGCTCCTTATATACATCTGTTTTATGCTCAGTTCCGATGCGCTGGAGATCCCACTATTTATTCACTGGACACCAAATTTTAATCATTTGAAAATTTGGTCAAAACATTTCTGCATACAAAATTTCAAAGCAATCGAATGATTCCATCTTTTTGGCCCGCCGATTTTTTTGTTATAGAGCTTATATGTACCACTGGTGTGCAAAAATTAAGGACGAAGTCGAAAAATTAGCATATCAGCTGAACGAAGAGGCAAAGCAGACAGGAAGACCAATCAGGAGATTAAGTAAAATGATGTACGGTAGCACATGCGCAGATATGCAGGTAGACGTAATGGGGGAGTGTCTGAGTAGTATAAAGCATGTTGTCGGTTGTAAGATCATATTTCTGGCAAAGAGATTGCATGCCGTATAGCAGTTAAATCACACCGAGTTGCTGTCCGCGAGAAAATGGTGAATAATCAATCTGTTAGATGACATCTGGATGCTTTTACTGAGGTCGAATCATTGGGAAGTGGGGAAAAACGGCCGCAGTTGTGACAAGTGTGGCTGCAGAGTTCGGAATTGCTCACAGCATCGTTTCATGACTTTGGAGACAATTTCAAACTACAGGAACAGCTATCCGGGGGTTTAGTAGTGGTCGTCCACGAGGAACCACACCCACAGATGACCGGTATATTGCCTTACAGGCCAGAAGATACAGGCGGGAGAAATCTCTAGACACACGACACAGGCGACTGGACGACCGATATCACGTTTTACCGTGGCCAGAAGACTGCACGGTGGTGGTCTGTTTGCACGACGCCCTGTACGGTGTGTATGAATTTTTCGTAATTTTTGTGAAAATGCATTTGTCTTTACGATTTTACGATTGTAATCCTTTTTTTCCTTTTTCAAGTGTTTTTAGTGATTTTTGTCAAAATTTTAGAATTTTTCGCCAATTGCATCGTGTTTTACCGACTACTTCGAATCCATAGCTGCGGTTTCTCCCACTCACCGCTAACCAGCCAACCAAGCGATGAACTTGTTTTTGTTTCCCACTCTTTTCTTGTGGCACGAGATTATTTTTCACGTTCGCTTCAGCAGCAAGGGAAACTCACGAGAGTGGATTGTCACATTCTTTTTTTTCCACATGATAGAATTCTCTTAATGCATCGTCGTTACGAAATGAGTTTAAAAAAAAAACCGTATTCTCAATATTTTCGGCCCTGCCTTAAGCGAATTTCCAACAATTAAAGAATCTTCAAAGGAAAAAACTATGCCTTTGCAACGTGGGTGTGTGGCTTCATAATAAGTCACGGTGGAAGAAGTGCCATTGTGAAGCATGTTAAGTCTAACTTCGACAACGTCTAACTAAGCATCGACAATGTCAAAGAAAGTGGATGATTTTTCGGAATTCGGATGCCGATGTCATTTGGCAGAGTGTGTTTAGTGCATTCCATCGAACACAACGTGCCGCTACCTGCCGATCACGCCGGTCAACTTTCAGATGGATTTTCCCGACTCAAGATGCTCGATTATGCTTGTGCCGCACGAAAAACATCTTCTATTGTGAACGAATTGCTGCGATGCAAAGTAAAACGATAGCTGCACTCCAGAATTCAGCATTTTGGGTGTCAATCAATGGCAGCAACGACAGCGATTGGAAGCCTACCCCTCGTTGTCACATATTTCGTTATGTTTTCTAATGAAATGAAAACTCATTTTCTGTCTTCTATTGTTAAATGGAGATGCTACGGGGAAAATATTGCCTCCTTGGTAATTAAGTTGAAACAACTTAACATCTTCTATCAAAGCATTTCATTTGGTGCAGATAATGCTACGTCATGGTGGGCGACAAAAAGGGTTGTAGCCTCTTTCCTCAAAAAGAACAAAAATGAATTAATTGTTATTGGATGCCCATGCCACTTATTAATTTGGCAGCAGAAAAAACTGCAGCTACTTTACCATTAAATATTGACGCTTCTGATGATGTTTTTTCTATCTGGAAAAGTGTGAAACAAAAAAACCTAAAGGATTTCCAAGAACTTTTCTGGTGAAACGAGAAAAATTCTGAAACATGTATGCACGAGATGGTTATCCTTAGGCAGAGTGCTAGGAAGGTTATTGAACAGTGGGAGCATTGCTAAATATTTCCACGAAGAGACCAAAACGAAACCACGATCTTATCAAATTTGTCCGGCATATAAGATTCCAAAACCAACTTGCTTCTAATCACAAAAATGCTTACACCGAATCAAATCCTTAAAAAGAAATGCTTAGAAGCCTCAAAGGTAACTTTGTTAAAGAAGTTGAAGGGAAAAAAAACATCTTCTATTAGCCGGGGAAAGGATTTTCTACCTTCTTCTTGGATTTGAACAAAGCAATTTTAGTTTTGTGTTAAGTACCATTAAGATTTTTGAAAGTGTAAATTACTCTTCTACAATCCAAATCTTAATGATCTTTTCGAAGAACTTTATACTAAGTTTGTAAAACCGTCCGGTGAAAAACTGTGGTTGATTCGTGTTGCCTAATAGTTTGGAAATCAAAAGGATGGACATGATCTTATAATTGGAATCAAACCAGGGAACTTGTAAATTCTTGAAAGATCATGAGAAAAAAAAGAATTTTCAGTGTGTTAGAAGTACTTTCCTCAGCCTGTGATTACATTGTAAGGAAGTTTCCTTTGCAAAATGAAGTTTCTTTTAAAATGCTGAAGTGGCAAATTTGAAACAAATTGAAAATCTCTTTTAAAAAGGATTTTTTTTTTTTTTTGATAAATTTCCATTTTTGTTAACATTAAAGAAAATGATGCCATAATGATGCTTTAGAGAACTACAGAACCAATTTTGCTGCACAGTTTGAAGACTTGCCAGGTCTGGAGAAGATAGATGATGTCCTCGTGGTACCTTAAAAAGAATAAAAGAGCTGATGGAACACCAAAATATGATAGACTAGCAAGAGTTTTATGTGCTATTCTCGTAATTCCACAGAGTAATGCTGAGTGCGAGAGTCTTCAGTGTTTGTGAAGAAAACAAAACTATGTTTCGTTCTTCAATTCACCAAAAACTCTAGAAAACATTTTAATGCTAAATGTATGAGGAAACTATTGTTGACAGGAATTTCCAAAGAGTTTTGGCTAAGCCAAAAAAAGCACTCTAAATTCATTGCATAATTTTTTTGGGTAACAGAAGTCCTTTTATGTTTCCTAATAATTTTTAGCTACTACTAATTGGATTCAACGTAAGTACAATTTTCTTTTTTCTATTTGTATAAATAGTTATTTTTTTAATATTAAAGCATGATATTAATTCTTTGTGTTCTTCTGAATATGGGGGAGAAATATGAATTTTTATCTTTAGAGGTTGGCAGGTATGCATTGGTAAGGAAAAGGTTAATTTTACTGAAAGTGGTTCGCATTGATAATTTTTACAGGGTGTTTAAGAGGAAAACTTATTTATATTTTTTTGTTTTATATAGTGTGTGTGCATACCCTGATAAAGAAAAGAATATATTTTTGTATCCATTGTTCCATTCAGCTGTGTATAGCTACAGAAAGTCTTGCTGCCCAAATTCATCCCTGATTTGTACAGCAAGACCCTCTGTAGCTTCTGGGGTTCTAGCATAACATAGATTGCCTTTGTTCCCCCTCCTTTATTTTATGCATTGATTTATAGAAGATGTATACATAGTTTTTCACGCAGCAAACCTTTTTTTTTTTTTTTTTTTACAAATAGTAAAATTTGCTCCTTAATTTCGAAATATCACGTGGTAGAATAAGAAAATTCTTGTAATTGAAATTTATTTCGATTTTTGTTTCAAGGGGAAGCAAAACAGTACACAAGCCTGGAAAAGTCAATATTTTATTTTACTTTTTTAGGCCAAAGAAAGATGCAATGGACAAGAAATTGATGGACGTAAGATACGTGTTGACTATTCAATTACTAAACGAGCTCATACTCCAACGCCTGGAATATATATGGGGAAACCAACCTAGTAAGTAGCATGTTACATTTTTTTCTTTGCTTATTAAATACATAATGCAGTAAAAGATTGGAAAGCCTGGGATATACTGGATGCAGTGAAATTCTGTACAGTTCAGCATATAAAAACTCTAATTCAAAGAAGAAAAGCTAAATGAGTGGAATAAATTTCTGGTCCAAAATTATATGTCATCTTATTTGTTTTCTATCAACTTGAATATCAAAAGCCTACATTTAAAACTATACAAGATTGGGGGAGGCAACGGGAGTGTGTATCATATGTAAGCCATTGTAGTTCATATGCCTTAAACATGAAAGATAAGTATCTTATCCAGTTCCCACCAAAGGTTAAATTTTGTGGAGATGTTGTGAAACTTATAAGTCATTATGGCAGAAGTTCAGATTGCTCTTTACATAAACAAAATAATAGTTGTACATTTAACATAACTAGCAACCTTATTCCATTTTTCATCACGTCGCCTGCTCGATCACCAAATCTGTTTTAAATCAAATCAAATTTAATCATTTCTTTTTTTTTCCAAAAAGTTTTCCTTAAAGATTTTCCTTAAAAGGTTAAAAACCTTTTAAGGAAAATCTTTAAAGTTAAGGAAATTTATTAATCTTTTTTTTTTTTTATTAAACGTATTTGATTCTTCCTTTAGCATTTCAAAATTAAGTTCATTCTAAATTAAATTCACCCATTTTTCCTGATTTATTTTAAAATAATTTTTATAAATTTTTTGAATAAAAATTTGAATTATAATCTATAAAATTTTTGCCGTCATCTTAAAGTAGATATATTTCTAAGCATACCTGCAGAAAATTAGTTTTTTATTCAAAATTTCCAATTGGCATTTTTTGAAATTTGCCATATTTGTTGAAAGTGGGGGGGGTGGAATCTGATGTGGTTTAAGCATTTTGTTGAAATTATTTAAAAGTAGGAACAATGTTACTTTTTCCCCGCTTAAATTTATCACCAAAAAATATAATGTCTAAATATAATTTGAGTCATAGAATCGAAATATGGAAAAGAATTTATGTTATTTCAGAAAAAGTCGTGATTTTTTTTTTCTTTTCAAAATACCTATGTTATAATAATGCTATATATAAATCTAATATATATCCTAAGTCACGCTTTCAAGACATGAAAACCGCAATTTGAATTTCTTCAACGAAATTATCCATTTTGACGGCTATCGAATGTAATTTTAACGATGTTTTTGCGTGACATCTGCACGTAAAGACATTAAAGGACTCTTTCCCCCCCACCTAAAAAATTATAAAACTGATTTAAAATGAATTCTAAAGATAATTTTTCGTGACGTCTGTGCGCACGTATTTATCTTGCATAACTCAAAAATTTATAGTCTTGGAACGTTTAAATTTTGTATGTAGGACTTCTGTAACATGTAGATGTACACCTCGTATTTTATATATATATACATCCACCCTGTTACTCGGCTCAGTGAGCGCAGTTTATTCTATCTTTGTAAATTGTGCATTTTTTGCTTTAAAAATTGTTAAATTATGTTGTTCTGTTTAAGATTTTTATGTCTTTAATTAACCTGCATGCAATAATTGTAAAATTATCAACAATAGAAAAGTTTTTAAGTGCGGCTAAGCCTTGTTGATTACCATGGTGGCCTTGTTTGTTTTGCAGAATAGGGGAGAAACTAAGCTAATGCGTTCATTTATTATCGCGAATTAAATCATGCTTAATCCATTCTGGAATTTATTTGAGGAAATAAGTGTTTAAGATTTACTTTGTAATTTTTAATTTAGATATTTTGAGTTTTTATGTATTTTTGCCTTGTCGCAAAGTGCAAACTGAATTAATTGAATGAGAAATTCTGAATCATCCGTGAAAAACTGCTTATTTTATTTGTTTAATTTCTTTTATACATCATTTTAGATTTATTATAGTGTTTGAATAGAACATGTGGCAACGATTAGATAATTCTTCAGATGATATAAAATTTGTGTATTCTGAGTTATAAACTGAATGAAATGTAAAGTTGTTAAATAAACCTAGCACCAGAGTGTCACTATGATAAATAAATATAGTGAATTTTAGAGAGTTCATTTTTTTATTGTGATTTATGTGTTATCGACAAAGTAGATTAAATTCTATCCAATAAGCTTAAATGAAATGCTGGAAAAAATGCGTATAATTTAGTATCCCGTACAAGGAAGTCATGTGGCGTACACATCAGTTTTGATAAGTAAAGCATTAACCAGAGATCATAAAATTCAGAATATTTTATTAAATACTAATATATATTATTAAATCAGAATTGTATTACAAATAGTGGAATAAACATAAATCATTATTATGACTGAATTAAAGTGAGTTTCAGTTTTCTTTGAAGTGGTGTGCAGTGTCAAACCCTCCTGTTTCTAACAAAATATCTGACGGTTTTTAAGATTTCAAGGTTGGTAGCTATGATATAGCATATAAAAACATTAATTGCGTACTGAAATTTTTTACATTTCATTTCTCTTAAAAATCCATTGCCAAAAGGTCACACATCATGCCTTTTTTGTGTCAGGTTTTGGTTAATATGAGGCCCGGTGGCGCAGTGGCTAGCGCATCATGCAGTAACACCACCACAGGTGCGGGGTTCGATTCTCGGGCTGGGCGAGGTCGACTCAGTGTTTCATCCCTGAATTTCCATGGCTTGTATCGATAAAATGAATACCAAGTTCGCTTGGGGACTAAACACTGGGGGTTCTGCGACCAAGCTGTCCACTTGTGCAGAGCATATGCTTACGCACCCCGGGGCCCACGGTGCCCAATGGAACATCTTCCATTGGAGAACTGGATTTTCTAGAGGCATTTCACATTCATAAAAATCTTTCTGTTCTAGTTAACGATCCTAATTCCAATCCAAATTTGCCTTCGGCTTTTAGAGAAATTATGTTTTAGTTCTGGTTTCGCCAACAGATGGCGCCACTTGCTTATTCTTGTCCAGGCTTTCTTATCTTATCTAAACATTATTTCCTATCTTGTTCATTTGCGGTTTTGCAGCTGAAGATGATGGTTCGGTAAAACCATCGAAACTAGTCCTGTGAAAATTTTGTAAATTAACGCTGATTTTTGTTGTTTGACTTCTGAATTAGTATTTATTCGGCATGTTATTGTGTCTTCATTAGGGCTGTTACGACACTGAGGTTTTAGTTACTGTAGAAGGAACCCTATTGCACGCTGTCTCATGAAAGGCAAGCTCCAAATATTAATTTTTTTTTTTTTTTTTTTTTTCCAAAATGCAATGAAAAACACAACTTATATCCTTCTTTGCAAAAATTAAACTGCCTTATTGAGAAGTATTTGGGTTTACATAAAACCAAAGCGAAATTCTTTTGATTTTTTTCTTATATCATGTTTATCCATTTTGAGGCTAAATTGTACTGTGATGACAAAGTTATTTGAGGCTAAATTATATTGATACAGGGTTTGTAGTGGTCCTTACAAGTGCTTATAAGTCCTTATGTTTGAAAATAAAATATAAAGGCCCTTATAAGTGCTTACTTTTCTTTAAAGCCCTTATTTTTTTGTTTTTAGTGCTTTTTTTTTTAATGAACGCTCATTTTTTCCCCGTACCAAAGCCGAATCTAAATAAACAACTTTTCTTCCTTATATGCAATGTCAGATGGTGAATCATACTCCCGGAAATTGCTTTTCCCCCTTTCTCTGTATTAACGTAACCTATAGTGCGCGCGAGAGTACAGACAGGTGCACGTCGTTCTATTGGTCAAAGAATTGCGAAAACGGTAGAAAATTCCACATTCTTTTCCTCCCACCCAAGTACTACAAATGTTTGGATTTCTATCAAGATTTTAATAATTTGCATTCTCGTTCTGCGTGGTCGGTTCATATTCGTGTTTATTATGATCGTCATGCTTATATTATGAGCATATGCATGAATGTTTATAATAATATAGTTGCAGTAACTGCTGAAGGATAGATAAACTTCCAAAAATGGGTGTGTTTTTACACAGATTAGCTTTCTAAGGAATAATATTCGGAATAGCTTAAATAAAAGGAAAGTAATCAAATAGTCAAAATATTTTTTTCTTTTTTTCTTTTTCTTTTTTTTTTTTTTTTTTCCTTTGGCCAATACATTACAGTAAAAAGTTGTTAATCCGGACTCCTCGGGACTTTGGCGATTCCGGATTATCAATTTTTCCGGATTATAGATCATCAGTTTAGATCTGGTAAGATGGCATGCAGAAATTATAAAATTAAAAATATGAAACTGTAATTTATGAAATAAAGATCAATTATGATCTAAAGGGTATCAAAATTCAGAAAAAAAAGCTTAATATTTATTTGTTTACTTTATTAAACATTTCTTTCAATATAAGTTGTTTAAGTTGCTTCGTTTTATGTGATAATACTTTCTCTTTAATTCTATAAACAGACATAATTTCTTGTTCAGTTACAAAGTTCCGCTGTTAAAGTCCTATAATTGCTGTGTCGATAATACCGACTAAATTTGTCAATCGAAATTTTTTCGTTTTCAATAACCTCTGTGTCACTTTCTTCACTATCGGGAGCGAATTATAATGACGAGGAATTTGATTTAAATCATATCAAAGACGGAGTACATCGAGATGAAAACTACATTTAGTAACGAATTATAAGCCAAATAAAATAAAAACATCTGCCCTGAAGATAAGGATAGTGCTAACAGATCAACTTCCAGTTCACTGCGCACTGCGACGTCCCAGGGAGATGTTTTCATTTTATCTGGCTTATAATTCCTTACTAAATGTAGTATTTCATCTGGATCTATTCCATCTTTGACATGATTTAAATCAAATTCCTCGTCATTATAAATATCACGAATACACATCAAATAGTTTTCTGGTTGCAATTTTCTAATTTCGACTATGCGCAATATATGCTTTATGCATGCGCACATTGAAAGAAATATTTAATAAAGTAAACAAATAAATATTAAGCTTTTTTTTTTTTTGTAAATTTTGATACCCTTTAGATCAAATTGCTCCT